CCTGAAGTCAGTGACTTTTTTGAATGGGTTTTTAGTTAGACACCTGAAATAAGGTCTGTGGTTTAACACAAGGTCAATACACTTTTACATTTGTTGCTATGACATAAAAGATGTCAGTAAATACTCCACTCATGTATGCTTTTATGTGTCTTAAAAAGGTGGTTGCTTACAAGTGGCTAAATGAGAATACACAGACCGCTGGGGACATTAAACATCATCACCCTGAACACAGAGACTCATCTACTCATTAGCCCGACTTTATGGCCTTGTTATGTTTAAATTTGCACTCTTGAAAACTATTCTAATTAACTGACACAGCCATGATCAGTAGTTAGATCAGATCACGCTAAGAGGAAAGGATTTTATAGAAGAGGTGAGCACTTTAAATCAAATTACAAGTTGGAAGCTGTGATGGTGATGCTGAAGTCATGGGACTGTGGTGTAGTTTGTTTAGAGCCTAACAATAGCTTTTTACTTCTGGCGATCGTATTTGGGCTTCATAAGTCATAAAAGTGGTGTTCACCTGTGAAGATAATTTGGCTGAACAAAACATGTAGGTGTCATAAATTGCTGTTTGTCACCAGTCTAACTTTCTGCAATAATCCAAAGCCTATGGAAAAATCCCACTGGTTTTTTCTTGAGGGAACCAGGATGATGCTGTGTGATCTAAAAGTTGCAGACTGTGGCATTACAGACACATAGAGTACACACATATAATCACTAACGCTAGTCCTCACACTTTTGTTCTCAGCACACATGCAAACTGCAAAGACATTTACATGAGGTGAGATTCTACACAGGAGTAACACAGGAAGCACCTAAAGGAAACAAAGTACAGCCAAACTCTCAAATTAGGTCATTTGAAAAATATAAACAAGAAATGAAATAAACACACACTGAAAAAGTATATGCTACAGGCAAAGCTCAGTATTTTCACTTGCTCTCTTTTGCTACTTAGCTCTTGCACAAAAGCAAAAAAAAAAATCATCTTTCATTGCCAGCTTGTGTTCTTCTATACTAATGCGTGCTGCACTCAGAGTCCTTGCAACAGGATGCTTTGCAAAATTAAATTGATTCATTTCAAATAATATTAACACTGAAAAGTAAACACAGCAGTGCCTGATGTTGACTGGAAAATAAAACATGGGTTTGTGCGAGTCTTTCATATAACAAGACGTGCTTTACATCACAAGGAGATTTTTTTTTTTTTTTGTAAATGTTGACTATTACAAGGTCTTCACTTTTCTGACCCGTCCTAACCTTTAAACGCCCACTCTAGTGTACATTGCTATAAGGCTAACTGCACTACAAACATTTGAAACATCGATATAAATTGCAAATAACTTTACTAAAGGATTTATCAGTTGGTCTTTTGCGTTTCAAATGGAACTAGATTGCTCTCTGAATAGACACATGCAGGGATGTAACACACACTCACACCGCCACTAACACCATCCAATTAATCTCCTGAGAAACAAAGAGAGGCTTCTAATCAACACGAGACAGAGAACAAGCCGTGACACAACGAGCATGGCAGATAAGGCAGGTAATTGTAGATGCTGTAAAGACAAGCGAACAGCAAGAACAATTATGTACCATTCATTCAGTCAAACTCAGACATAAACGATAAACAACAGGGGGGCTGCACCTGTTGAGCAGTGAAACTGGAAAGGTTATCTGTGATTCACGTCATGCGATCTCCCCACGTTGCCCCATCAATTGTACAGTTATCTTGGACTGATGTGAAACAGTTGTAAATAAATCACTGACTCTTTTAATCTTTTTTTAAATCTCAGGCTTCAGCTGAGAAAAATACTGTGAATTTGTCACACTTCGATTTTTCCTGTTCTATTTCTAAGGAGCCTGCTGTGAGTAAATAACACCATGTTTGTAAGGGTTTACATCAATGCCACATCACACACTTTTCCTTACTAAGCATTCAAATGTGAACTGTAGGAATGGTCGGGGAAAAATTACCTTTTTCTTCCTCCACGTCCTTACATTTTTGAGACTTTGCCTGTTTTCTCCTCTTCTGCTTTATGACTTTGTTTGCACATCTGACATGTGCCTATCAACTCTGGCTTCCAGGATATTTGTATAAGGAACTCTTGACTTATGGAGAGGGGAATAATAAGAATAAAATGGAGTGATCCATGTGGTCCATGACTGTAACAAGTCTTAGAAGGAGGCAGGGAGGATATTGTGTGTGCATGTGTTGTGTTGTGTTTCAAATATACACTCACAAATAAATTAGTGTTTGTAGATGGAGTATAAAGGCTTCAGCCAGATGTGACATTCCTTCAGAGTGTTTCGATCAACATGGAAAACTCTCTTCCTCTCTTTGCTAAGTTCCTCTCACCCCCACACCCCACCCCTCCCCTCTCGGGGTGAAAATTGCCGAATCAATACAGCTAACTGGAGTAGCTGTGCAAGGCATTGAGTGTCCTTTCTAAGTGCTGGAGAAACAAGGACAGCAAGAAGTAGCTATGTGTCACCTCTTCTCCTTTTTCCCTGCTATCCACCTAATTCTTTTCTCAACAGCCTCAACTACTCTTTAAGCATGTCCTCATTATTCAGCAGCAGGTAATGGAGCATCTACTACCATTAGTTCACACTATGCTTAGCTATTACTGAACAAGAAAGTATTAAATATCATCCTGTATAACAGAAGTGGTGAGGAAAATAGAAATTTGTGCAAATGGGCTGTATCACTGCACTGTTTCAATAGATCTGAATCAAAAATCACAGGTCAGCTGGCATTTTACCACTTTGGGTGTTTGGACTTGGAAGTGAAACATTACACCACACTTAACATGCGGGTATCAGTATCATAGTTTTTGTGCTACAGTATGTTTTTAAATCCCACTGATGTGAGTTTATACCATATGGATTTATATTTACACCAACTGAAATGACTGTTTTGTAGTTACAAATGTCAGGTTTATTCAGATTTCGAGAGCAGTAGTTTCTTTATAGAATCACCATTTTGCATGATGATTTAACAATAACAAAGGTCTAAATCAACCATTAAACACCTTGAGACCCCAGATTTCCCTTTGGCAGGAGCCTTTGGCAGTAATGTGGTCTAGCTGCAAAATATGTTTTCTCAACTATAAAAAAGATCACGCTAACATTCTCCAAGTCAATTTCACTGGTGTACTGCTCTTTCAAGCTGCATGAACAACTAGTGGTTATTTGCATGGTCAGACATTTGTCAAAGACTTATTTCAGAAATGACTGTGATAAGCAGTATATGAGAATCACAGACATGCTGATGATGTCATTTCTCTCATTAACCTCCACTATTTCAGACCAGTTTCTATTTATATTTAATGACAGTTTCTACACAAGTGATTTATACTGGTGAGCAACTCCTAACAAATTCTCTTTGACTGCACCGCGTGCTTCCTCCATGGTCTTCTCCAGTATCCAACTATAAGAGCAAATGGGATCTCAGCTATGTCTGTACTACTTTATATTTGTGTGTGTGTGGAAGATAATGGGAGAGAATAAGACAGAGATAATGAGGGACTGAGAGGGAATGAGAATCAGCCAGACTGGAATAGAGCTGTGTCTTGAGGTTGTTGGCTAAGAAAACTCAGCAATCAGCTGCTTGGCTGACCCCCGTAAGAACACTAGACTGAGAAAAGAACTTTTCAATCTCCCTTTGACCTAGAACAAACAGCTACCTGGTTGGAAGCTACACAGGAAAATAGGAGGGAAAAACATTTTGTTGTACCTGTGACCTGCAACAAACAACTCTGTGACTGCAAGGTACAGACCAGCAGCAGCAGCAGCAGAGACAGTGTCAAGAAAACACACCCTGTTGTTTGAGTTTACACCTCCTTACACAAGAAACACAGGTCTTGTATCTAATTCTGCATGCCAAGCTGCAGATCAAACTCCAAAATTAAATTAGTCACTAAAGTCAGCGTACATGCTAATAGATGCTCTCACACACAGCAAAACCTAAATACAAATCTCTCATAATCTGCTTAGTGAGCAAAAACTCCTAAGAAGCCTGAAGCAATTCCTAATCATTTCACTACAAGGTGGATATATGCTGTATCCCAGGAGTAAAGGTTTAGATTAGATTTACAGAACATTTACCATGCATTATTAGTGAGCTGGAGAGATTCCTCTGCAGGAGTTCATTGGCTTATATTCAGATTCATGTCAGCTCCATGGATTTTATTTTCTTTTTTACTGTGGCATTTTCTCTGCTCAGTGACTGCCCGATGAGGCCGAGTACCCAGACACCCTTCAGCCAGATGGTTCTCATTCAGGCATTTACTTTGCTGACATGTCCTTGAGCAATACCAACAAAGCAACAAGCTCCATGATCACTGGTCTCAATCTGCATTGTAACATCTTTAGGGGAGATGGCAAAAGCAGATGTCACTTTGTGGAGCAAAACTTTCAATGTGCATCTTTACATGCCTGCTATGAATCATGTCTTCTAATAATGAGGAGACAATTTACAGCAGTGTTGTCTACATCTGTAGGATATTTTCAGGCAGAGAATGACTGTGCAACATCCAGGGAGAAAACCATTTTATTATATGCATCTCTCTTGCTGAAGCAAGTTTACTGTATGTGGTGCAACTTTTTCCTCTCAAAGGCCTTCTGCGGGACTGAAACAGTAATCTTCACTGAAAATTAGTTCAACACTCTACAGAAGCATGACAGATAATAGAGATCTGCTGCTGGGTCAGCTATTACCCGTAGCTAAACAGACTTTCCACTCTATGTCTCTACTTGTGTGTATGTGTGAGTGTGTGTGTCAGATAACGGTGTGTTCTACCCTCTAATCTTCCACAGTAAGCAGTCGAAAGTGATGGAGGGCCTCTGCTAATTAGAATGGAGAGCCTTTCCTTTCACTACAAAAATAATGACGGCCCTTCACCAGATGTAGAAAATCACCCTGAATCTGTGCTTGCACTCAAATAGGACGTGGCCCAGCTCACACTCTCTCTCTCTCTCTCACACACATTCCTCACCTGCTCCAGTTTCCAGTGGAACTCAGCAGGTCTGAAAGTGTCGACCTGAGTGAAATCTCTTCTGAGCAGGAACACCAGGCGGCAGTTGTGAACATAGAGGGAGTAATGGTGGCGGTTCATCTCTGAAACAGGAACATCACAGACACACACACACACAATTCAACAAAAGTCTGTATTATACAGTGTATGAATCAAAAAGATTATGCAATCTGCAAGATTAGGCAACACTGCGTGATGTCAGCTTCGTATTCTCATTAGATTCTATTCCAAATACCATGTAACTCCACAGTGATGAGATACTGGATCCCTTTGATAGATGATGTTTGTGGTGTTTTTAGTACTTGTAGACTCAATTCTGCTGTTAAAATCGCAGAAATTGTAACACATGTTACTTAGGTCAAATGCTCAAAATAACATTTACCTGAGTGGAATAAGTGTAACAATAACTGTTGTGATTAGGAAAAATGTGGCAAGTACTGACATGTTGACACTGATTATTATCATGGTAGTCACTGTTTGACTGAGTCCATCATACCATGCATGTCTTTCAGACAAAACACCACAAATCAAAAAAGTGTTCATCAGACATGAACTACTGTAAAAGATCAGACTACACATTTCCTAAACCAATAGGCCATCTGTGAGACCATTGTGAGAGCATGCAATGTGCAGATGGCTTGCTTAATTACACAACTTCAGACATGCTGTGGGAAAAAAGTTTAAGATTTCAAAATGCATTTACCATTGTGGGCTTCAATTATCTTGAAGCCCACAATGGTAAATGCATTACCAGCTTATTATTTTTTTGAAGGTCATGTAATTTTCATGGCAGGTTTTGTAGTACAGTAGAAACTATGAAATGTTTAAATAAAAAGGGGCCTAAGGATGAGCCATTTAATTTTCCTAAAGTACTGTAAGTGCAGATTAATGTTAAAATGTAGAAAAATTAAAGGTTAAATCCAAAAAAATTTTTGTTCCACATGGGACTATGCATCTCAGCATTGAACAGATGTGAAATAATTTCCTCACCGGTCTTGTCAGAGTTGCACAGTAAGGTTTCTTTCTCAGCTCTGAGTCCTGGACTGGGTCCGTGTTTCATCCAGGTTGCTATGGTAAACTGATCCGTCAGGTTTTGGGGAACCACGTGATCTGGAACATTGGCTGCCTGACGCCCATCAAATCTGTAGATGAGGTCGCTGTCTCGCCCGCTGTCAGTGAGCAGAGACATTGTCCAGTTTGTGGACGTGCTGGGAGCAGGAAGGAGGTCGGTGCTGCCTGATGCCGCACCTGGATGTGCCAGTCAGAAGATGCAGCACTGTCAAGACGACTCCACAAAGAACAAACCTTGGACAGCAGCTGCTTCTCCAGGATCACTATCTTGTTTCTGTGTCATCTTTCTGGATAGCAGTGTGTCAGCATATGTGAGTTCATGCCCTAATGTTGTGCCAGCACCCTGACTCTATGAATCAGTGCATATCTACTGTACGTATGGTTCATGTATTTCTTGTAATGTGATATTACTAAACCATTTGTGGCAACAATGTCATATAGCCATGTTTCTGTATGAATCTTCTTATTTGAAATGTTCTATTTATATTTCTACTACCAACAAGTACTTAGTACGTGCTAGTATTTGAAATTCAAAATAAGATGCATGATCCCTAGAGATCCATTTATATCATAAAAAGAAAAATGGGAGCATATTTTCAAAGCAAATCAATTATTTACAAGAGAGTACAATTAACAAGTTACTCAGCTGAACTAAATCCCCCATGTTGTATTATTTCAGTAATCATGACGCCTAAGTAAGTGTCACAATGCAAAATGATGGTCATTGTGCACAAAACATGGGCTTTCATTTTTTCCTCTAAACAATCTAACAGTGGGTTGTTAAGAGGAATATTCGCCTTGTTAGGAACAAATAACAAGATTGAATCTGTCATTTACATGTACTGTGTATTACAATGCAAAGCCAGGGATTAATAAGGAGCATGTGCTGCACTCATGTCACTCTTAGATAAGATGTTTTCGAATTAAGTCCAAAATAGTCTCACAAATTAAAATGACACTCTAGAAATGGGCATATTTGTATACTGCAGAAGATAAGAGGTGATTTCTTCTTTGAATGAAAAATGTCCTTCTCCCTCAACATAATTTCTACCTTTTGTTCACTCATAGCCCTCTGCTCTTAAACACTGCTTCACTATTTCAACAAGGCATTTAATTTCATGTCTTCTTTCTTGTTCTCTCAATCCTCACTTCTACTCATCTCGTTTCTCACTCTGGTTTGGTCTCTCTCTACTTACCACAGAGTTTTTGCAGAGATTTTTCAGAGTACGTTTCACGGTCACAGCCCTTCCCAATGTGATTGGTCTGCAGCTCTACCATTGCTCTCACGCCAGACAGGGGTCCCCCACAGGTTTCCAAGTGCATCTTGGGAAACAGCTGCTTGCTCCCAGTTCCTGGCTCATAGTCTACACGCTTGTTCCAACCTTTAAGGATCAGAATTGGCATAGTAGTTTGTGTATAGCAAGTAATTTATTTAGTAATGTCAGTGTATCATCTGTTGCAAGACTAGTACATTCACCAATTTCACAGTGAGATATTGAAGCGTCAGTAACATGTTGGCCATGTTTTGACCATTTTTACTATGACTCATGGAGAGATACTGTAGTTTGACTCTACCTGTCTCTGTAACATCATTTACTGTACATGAGTTCTGTTCACTATAGGCCTAATCTTGTTGTCTTTTTTTCTACATTTACTGTTATTAAAGCAGTCTACAGAACTATGGGGAATAACACCTTTTAAATGTGCATGTGTATCTTGACAGGATGACAGCCAACCACACAGGACAGCAAAATGGTAATTTTCTCAGTGAAATCTTGCTCTGTGTTAAGTGAAAAGGAGACTGAAATGGTCCTATAACATGACAGGCCTGATTTAAAAACGGGGGAGGGGGGTCTCCCCTTGTTGTAACTGTCAGTCCTGCTGTCTGGTGTTATATTTATCCTCAGTGTGTGCAAGAATCCCTGAATCTGGAGGTGAGAAGGATTCACAAGCATGATTGTGTGTGCATATGTCTGTGTGCATAAATGCGTGTGTAGGTGGACACCTGGCAGCTCTTGCCAAGGCTACAGAAAATGATATCAAGTCTCCTGAGACAAACATTCACAAAGAGAGAGGTGGACTGTGATTAAGGAGGCAAGGAGGAATGAGAGGTAAGGTGGAGCAAGGCCTGTTTAGCCTCAATTTTTATCAGAGAGTCCTCTTCAAAAAGGAGCAGCAGAATCACTGCTGACCTTTAAATACAGATGATAAATGAGGTTGTATGTACAAAGAATATGAAGTTTGTATTGCATCATTGCATTAAAGTATGTTTTATTCACGGCTTTGAGCTACTGTGAGTTAATGGTTTTACAAGAGGATTACGTATGGCCGCTTTTTACTATATGAACCAAATCGCAAAGAATCATGTTAGTCAAATGTAGTGAGTTGATATCACCTGTATATACCATGATACATTTGAATCTCAAAACGACTGTACATTTTTACTAAAATCAATAGCAAGAGCTTTCCAGATCCAGCCTTTATTTTGTTGTCAATTATTTTATGTTATATAGATCAGTACCTCTACATTACATTTACATACAGAAGTATGACATTTCAGTCCACTTTTCCCAACACTGTATTATTTCTCTCTGCTCTACCATCTGTCTGTGATGTGCACTGACACTTCCCTCAGTGAGTGTCCATAAAGCCTAAACAACCAGCATTCATGTCATTTTCAGTGTGCACTCTCTTTGCACAAATGCATCCACATCATCTCTGTTAAGGCTCATTTTTTCCTATTAAATGATCTGCTCTCAGCTGTCACCTGAGCTTTGCTGACTCTCTTAACATCATGTTTCGCATCGTATGGTACAAAGAAGCTAAAGCTGTGCCCCCTGAGAAGAAAATGTTTGTACCTACAGCTTGAGAACTGCAAGCAAGAGTCAAGACTGAAAACTGTTTTTCAAACCCTCTGCACTTATCTTCAGCAAAAACTTTATTTGTTTATGGTCAATATTCTCAAACAAGAAGCAAGAATTGGACATCATTCAAATATAAGACAGTAAAGGGCAATGCCCTTGGTAGTAAAACTGCATATATAATACTAATGAGACTGTCATTGGCTTAAAAGCAGCTCTACTAATCATAGCTTTGCAGCAGACTGGGACTTTACACAATAAGATTTATCCTGGTCAGGCAATTTATGTCCACTGTAAGAATAACCATCACCTCTTTCCTTCACTATAACTTTGTTTCGCTCCTTCCTCCCTTGAGTTGCTGGTTCATTCAGTCTCCTTTTTTATCTCTCCCCTTGTTCCCTCTCCCCTCTTATCTTTCCCTGTCTTCCTCTTTCATTCCTGTGTGAACCTGACTTCTGAGATGCTGTCAGCGCTGACAGGTGAAGCAGCAGGGGAGACGGACTGGCTTGAATGCCAAGCCGTTGGCATGTTAAAGGAGAAACACACACACACACTCACTCCAGCCAACTTTCTGTCCAGAGGTTTTTGTCAGGTTTTCTGATTTACTGGAGAGACATTCTTTCTAAAATGAGATAGAATTCCCTTGAGGGCAAGCATATAATCAAAAACCACACTGAATCGCCCTCAGTAAGCACAAAAAGTGTACCTTCTCCTACCATAGAAATAAGTGCATTTCTGTTATATAGGAAAATTAAGGTATTTTGCAAATACTTCGGTGGCTCTTTCTTGAGCTCTCACCTTGCCATCCAGGCTTGCAGACAGGCTTGACATCAATATGCACAGTCACATCTTCTCTGGCTCTCTTCTGACCACAGTCAAAGGCCGTCACCATAATCTTGTAGGTCTGCTGCTTGTCGTAGCTCAGCCGTTCTGTGTTCCTGATATTACCTGACAAAACAAAAATCAAAAGGAAATATAATTACAATTATCCATTAACAGGAAAAAAAATAACTTGCTATGCTTATTTGGTAATAATAAAGTGAGAAACACTGAGCAATAATTGAAGCTGACTTTGCATTAAAGAAACTGCTCCTTGAAAACTAGAATTAATCGTTGTGCTTATTGAAGCTTGTTACTGAAAACTCAAGGTCCAGTGACCTTGTATTGCATTTGAATATTAAAACCTCTCTGTAAACACTCAAAGTAAAATCCCAGTGATGGGCTATCTTCACCCGTCGCCACAGTAACAGTGCAAGAAAACGGCGAGATAGAGGAGATGCTACTGTACATCTGAGGATTTTCACAAATGTGTCTCAGCTGGGGCTTTTAAACAAGGTCATACAGTGAAGCTACTATTGTCCAACGGTGCAACCCACTGCTGACTAACTTCAACAGATGTCTAACAGACGTTTAGTCTTGCAGTTGTTTACTGTAATGTACCGTTCACACTGACAATGTGCCTTTGTGAATGTTGTTTGCCAGCTACAGACTGGCAACTGCCATTAACCCTTGTGTATTTGAACTTAGTCTAACATAGTGTTTGTACTTTTTGACAGTTTTATGTGATTGAATGACTTGTTTGTATGTATTTGTGTTTGCTAGGCGCTTGCCTTAAATGGCGCCTTGAGAACAAATAAAGAATTCTGAACTGAATATTTACATTTTTTATCCTATCACAGTCTCTCTGCTCTGTTGTCTTCTGTCCTTTCTATCCCTTGTATGACTGTCTACAGTGATAACTGTATGTTAAAGAATGTAATTGTTGTGGTGTTGTGGTTGAGGAACATGCTACTATGAACAGAATAAATGTGATCAATATAGAGCATTGAAATTGGTACATCATGTAATGGTGTTTTCACTGATTATACCGTAGAAACAAAAACTATAACATTTCACAAACACGTAAATAAATAGCTTGAGGAAAAGTGTTTGATGTTTGCATGTGTGCCCAAACACTGTGCTAACTGTGAAAAAAATGATTCATTATCTAGCAGAGTCTTGGCTTTAGTGAGCTAGTTGTAAGCCATTTATTTTTTAGACTGAATATTTTCATGCATACAGTAAGAGAGAAACAGGTGAAAGGCCAAAAAAAGACAGACTCATGTGTATATCTTGATGTTTTTGATGGTTCAGTCAACCTTATGTAAGCATGTCTTTATTATTAAGCGACAAAGGTTTGCAGCTTTTGAAGACAGAAGCTCACAGCTACTGAATCATTAACAAGTTTTATATATATATATATTTCAGTTATCAGTATGTTCTTGCTGTTGTTGTGTCCAATGTGTATTTTATGACAGTAAAGGCTGATGGAAGATGAGTTCATATAAAGGATAATTTCAGGTTGTGTTCCATTTAGTGTTAAATGTCTGAGAGGTCCAACTAGAGACGTGTCAGTCGGAAGTGTCTGTAGTTCTATCAAACTGCAGCAAGATTTCAGGAAACGCATGTAAGCAGCGTTGAAAACTGTAAAGGTGAGCGGATACATATGTTTTGAGGAGTTCAGCAAGAACAAAAAAACCCCCAACTGGGACTAAACTGACTCACAAAGGATTACACCCCAGAAGCGCTGGTGCAACAGTCCTATGCTTTACTGACTGAGCTAAATGTTAATTCAATGCAACGCATTAGTGAAGGTCACCCAGGCTTTATTTCTGTGTCTCTGAATGACAACTGCAGAATGAACATCAAAGCAGAAGTAAAACAGAACTCAAACCTTTTCCAGTTGATAATTAAACACATCATTTATCTGGGAGACTTTCATACAGATGGTATTCAAGATAAACAACAGGCTTCAAAACAGTTTCAGATTCTTATTTGTCAAAGACTTAATGCATCAGTCACTGCCATCACAGCCTGTCTCCGGACTTCTGAGGAAAACCAAAGCTATTTTTGTTTTGCATCTGGAGGCTTGGCTGTTTGAAAGGCTGTCACTCTGATTGCTGTCAGAGAAAAAAAGAAGGGAGACCAAAGGAGAGGAGACCAGAGGAGAGGAGAAAAAAGCGAGACCAGAGGAGAGGAGATACAGCAAGGAAATCTGTTTCAGAGCACAGCAGTATACAAAAGAAAAGAGCTGAGCTTGAAATGTCAGAGGGAGAAAGGCGAGGAGGTCAGAGTCAGATGGTTCCTACAAATGTATCCTATTTGATCCACAGCTAGTATGAGCAGCAGCAACAGTACAGGTACTGGGCATCGGCTATTTGCCACTTATTTAGCAACTAGTGGTAGATGTTCAGCTTGACAGTTTGATTCATTAGCGGGCGACCATACTCTTCAGGGCTCTAAGGTGCCACCTGGATTTACTGTAGAATGAAGATGGACACAGTCCACCAATTTTACACATAAAGTTCAGTACACAGTGGGATTTACTCTGCCTGTGAACACATTTACATAATGTCCTCTAAGGCCCTGATAGGAGCTTTTCTAGGTGTAAAAAAATAGGGCTATTTATCAGCTGGGGCTTAAGACTTAATGTTAAAATTTAAAAGAAAACTACTCAGTTGCATTACGAAGCAGTAAGATCCAGTGTTTGAAAAGGCTGACCATTCTCAGGACCAATGGATGCATTGTGTGAAACAAGCAAATGGCTGTTGCAAAATAACCACAGAAACCATCACACTCGTGTCCACATCTTGATTAATTATTGTACAGTTTCTACTGCAGATCAATATGCGAGTTGGAGATACTGAAAACAGTTCACACTCTCAAAAAAAAACAATTAGGCATCAATTAAAAGTTCTCTTTCTGTTGATATCTCCCTCAAGACCTCAAAAGGACCTTTTTGTCCTCTTCCAGTGTCTCCACCCAAAACACCAGATAGCTGGGACAAGAGAGTACACCTCAGTTTCCTGTTAACAGATGTGGCAAAAGTAACACATAGAGCAATTTGAAGCTACAGTATGTAACTTTTTTCAAATATTTTTGCTGTAGAAATCTGCTCCAAAACTCGTCTCAATGTGGAGAGGTGCTGTCAAAGCCTCATGTGACCCAGACTCATTGAACAGCACTAGCAGCACAGCAGAGATATTAGCTTTTTTTTAAGACAGGCTTGATATTGAGCAGGACTGACCTTTCTAACCCATCAAAGATTTTCAATTATTGATCAGTAAGTTTTGTTGGATTCTCATTTATTGTAATTTCATAAGGAGAAATATCCGTAGCAGATCGTAGTAGAGCATAGTGGAGCAGGGAGAGGGAATGCTGGGTGGAGCATAGTGGATTGATTTTGGAGTTTCATGCTACTTCTACTTTAAGTTACATATTGTAGCTTTAATTACAATATAGGCAGACATGTTTCTGCAACCATCAACAAGTGTTATTTTAATCCTCATAATTTCAATCAATCAGTAGCAGAGCCACACAACACTGCTATTTCTATGTTGATCATGTTTATGTTGCAATATGAAGATGAAGCAAGCAACTACTTATTTATCATATTATTAGCAATCATTTTTATATAAGACATGAAAATGTAGACTGAATTAATCATTCAAAATGTTATTAGAGTAAAACATGAATTTTGCTTTTACTATACATTGGACACTACAGTGGTATTTTTTGGCAGATGATTATGGATTATTATATGACAGATTAAACTGACTGTTACATAAAGAAAACATAAACTAAGATCTTCAGTGTTTCTCATGTGACCACGAGTGTCATACGGTACCCTCTAACAAACCCACCCATAATGTATTGTAATGGGTGGGCATATGTCTGACACCACCCCATTTCCAATATCAAAAGTCAAATGTGTTTGATAAGTCACTAGCTGGGTGCCTTTTGACACTAATATTAAAACTGGTATCAAATGCTGAACAGTGGGGGAAAGAAGAGAAATTGTCATACAAGTGTTCTGAGGGTAAATTTGACTGTGCTTTACAAAAATCAAGTCCTAAAAGTCAAGATGGCTTGCCTGTGCTGCACTGATTTAGACCACTTTGTTTTTAATCTGTATCATGTGAGTCTGCCGACATTATGGAAATGCAGTACTAAATTGCTGGAGTAGCCTTTTAAGCTTAGCATTTAGAGGCCATACTGCGCATCAGCTGATTGAAATAGGCTGTTCAATTCAACAGCACCTTTAAGAGGAGTCCAGCTGGTGTGAACAAGTGATGAACTGATCTCTTTTAAAGGTGGATAAGAGTTTCCATCCTCACTCAAGTGTTATGCACAATATTTAGAGACATTTCACACACAATATCAGAGACTAGTGAATATTGGATGAGTAAGTTCTATAGTTAGTACCACAAAAACATCCTCACATCACTAAAAGGTAACAGAAAAATATTTTAAAAAGTGCAGTGAATGAAGTCTATCTGGGTCAGCAGCAGCTACTACAGATTTAACAAGGTATTATGTTCCATAAATTTAAACTGCCCATGGCAAGCTTTTCCTTGTTTTCTGACTTATGCACAGTGTTACAACGGTGAATTATCATCTTAAACGTGACTGAAAGCTCAAAAAATGAAGTGTACCTATGTTGCTGTACTTCTATGCAACAGCATCTCAGTTTATACAAGTCTCATGACTATGTAAAATCTTATGCAAGAGTTCACAGATTTTCTTGAATGGTCATAATCTCCTGGCTGTGTACATTCATGTGAGATTGCCCGACATCCACCGGTGCCAAGGAGGACTTTTTGACTGTGCGTGGTTTTGTGAATATATTTTACCTTTTGTTGCTGCACTGTGACCAGAGGATGTGGAGAAAAATACAGGGCCTGAGGTTGCTGCATGTCTGTGAATGTTCATGTACAGGGACCTTGACCGGGTCTACATGGCGTGAATGAAGAGGATGGAAACCTATAAGCAGCCACACAGAGAAGCACCCTGGGGCGGTGAATGATCAGCTGATCTAAGCTAAATTTCCCTGGAGCACAATATCCATTTGTTTTGACTGCTTGAGGCCAGTGTGTCTGCCGCATGTGATGTGTTGCAGGTTAACAAGAGGATTCTAATGATCCATGATGTTATTGTTGGTGCTACGCTACTTGTTGGAATTACTTTGTAATGCAAGGGAGTTGTGGGGGAAGGTGCAGTGATCACTGGCTGGATTTATCAACCTTGAAGTTTCCACTACTCAGTAGGACATAATAGTAAGTTTAAAGAAACTACAAGTTGCCTGTTAATGTGTCATTTCGTTAGAGAATTGTTGTAAGGCTGGAGAAGTTACTATGTCTGCATTATGCCAGTTAGGGGGTTTCTCAATTGCCTGCTTTGTTTAGAGTGTTGTTTAAACTGTTGTTTACCTATCTGTGAAGGAGAAGTTCAAATTAATTCATGCCATTTCATTGTGCTGTCCACTTTCATATTCTGGCTTGAACATGACAGGTAAGATTTGAGGTATTGTCATTTTCAAAAATGTAGCTGTAGATTTTTGGTTCATGCATTGTTCTGGCTTTTTGTCCATCAACAGGAGTTGTGCGCATTCACAAACTATCCTCTCATTTTAAGGAGGAGGATCTCCATGTGATATTGTGTTTTATTTTTCTGAAATATTACAGGCTATATGGAGTTATGATGGGTGCAAAGCTAATCTAGACATACCCAAAATTAAAAATTAAATGGGTGGAAATGAGCATGCCATGGGCTCTTTAAGAAGCTCAGGAGAACCACTGGTCACATTCCCCTTCTCGTGATTAATATGAGGAAAATATATGAAAATAAATTACCTACTCAGCAGGCATGTCTACACAAGGAGCAAACATTTCTACCAAAAGACTGTAAAGCAAAATTATTTTATTTTTGTCAATACAATCACCTCTACCTCTACCTCTGCAAGAGAAGCAAGCAAGTTAAACACTAAAGCATATTATGAAACCATATTAAAGGGATGTTATACCCAGCTCAATTCGGCTATAAATACACAAACATCATCTGAACTGTGAACCCTGCAGAAATGATTCAGAGCCAGTTTATTGTCACCACTCTAAAAAGCCAGTGTTAGAGAATTCATTTAGCCTTATTTTACTGTCTGCTTGAAGATGCACAATTTACTCCATATCCAAGAGCAAAGATGCACACTGCAGCACAGCCCATTTACTTTTTTATCTTGCATATCCCTGAGTGCACAAAATTACCATTGCTCTATAAACCAGGTTTAAACAATTTCTTACATATACTGTAATACTACTGTGCCTGAGAGGAGAGCAAATCAGATGAGCCAAACAGCTGTAAGAAACAGTGAGAATAAAACTGGAGGTTAAACTCAAAAAGCACTGAAACAAAATAATAAATTTGACCCTGACAGAGAGAAAACAGGATCCACTAAAGAAAGCAGTGTGTGCCTGTGTCTGATCTATTGGTAAAAATTCAACACACATCTATACACACACAAAGCCCTCCAGTCTCCCTTCAGCTTGGATTATGCTGCACTCAGATCAGCACACTGTGGTTGTGGAAGCTCAGGGAGAAGCTGGCACAAATTCCAAAACAGGAATTTTATATAGGCAGATATGCTCAGAGCAGCTCTCAATCAGAAATAAAGCACACTCCTCCAGCTAGGACTGGTGTAAAGCCACAAAAGAACACAAGAAAACTGGAAAGAAAATAAAAGTAGAAGCGTCACAGCCGAGGGTGGATCTTTGTCAAGACACTTGAGCTATGCACTGATCAAAAGCTACTTCATGGATCACAACATTATTGGAATGAAAATGGATTTGTTCTTTTGCTTTTTCCCACTCTGTACTGTATTTCTCTATGTGAGGGATATTCTGTTGTTTGGTGTATATCTAAAAATAAATGATTAGTGCAGTCCCTACATGCACACCATGTTATGCTTTAACAGCGTTTCATTTTGCCATTATTCTGTCACAGTACAAACCAGAGACAGTAAATGTGCTCTACACTTTGGCTTGGAGTTTACAGTCTGTTTCACGACTCATCTTTAGATTTAGCATAGGCTGTATCAGCTGCCTGAGATCATAGAAAATATATGCAAATTCAGTCAAGGAATAGCCTGTTTTCTTTCACTGCAATATTAATCATGCTGTTTCTGTTCAAATGAGGTGAAAACAACATTGAAATTTACCACAAGTCTCAAATAAGCTTCAAATGAGTGTTAACCCAAATAAGCCCAAACAGTAAGTTTCTCTTTTTATTTCAGGTTAAGGTTAAGTATATTTTTCAGTTAAGAAAATGGTGAGTAATTTTGGTAAAAATTAAGTTTGTGGTTTTGGTTATGGTTAAATTTACTGGTGTGGTCAGGAGCTCGTGACCTACAACTGTGTATATGTCACATGAGCAATATGCCATTACTAAGTAATGTGAAATTAATCAGATCCTTCCCACAACTCTCACAGATGTATCATCAAGTACACTGGCTTTAGAAACATCTGTAAGACCTCATTTATATTTAAACTGCTTCTTTCCCATAAAGCTCTCTGAGTTGATCTCAAATGCTTCATCTAAATCATCTTCATGCATCTAAGACCCCATCCTGACCAGGCTGCTCAAAGACATCTTACCCCTAACCAACATGCCCATGTTAGATCTCTATTAACAGGTTATGTTCCACAGGTTGCTGTAATTAAACCTCTACTCAAAAAGTCTACTCTTGACCCAGGTGTTCTGGCTAACCAATATCCAATGCCCCTTTACTTCTAAAATCTTTGAAAAAGCTGTTGCAAAGCAGTTATGCAACCACTTGCACAAGAATGATTTGTTTGAAGATTTTCAGTCAGGATTTAGAGTCCATCATAGTACAGAAACTGCACTGGTAAAAGTCACCAATGATCTTCTCCTAGCCTCAGATAAAGGACTTGTCTCCATACTTGTCATCTTAGATCTCAGTGCTGCTTTTGACACCATTGATCACACATTACAGAGACTTGAATGTGTTATTGGGATTAAAAGAACTGCACTAAGTTGATTCAAAACTTACTTATCAGAAAGATTTCAATTTGTTCATGTTAATGATGAATCTTCCACACAGACTAAAGTTAGTCATGACATTCCACAGGGCTCTGCGTTAGGTTCAATTCCCTTAATTTTATACATGCTCCCTTTAGGCAATATTATCAGGAAACAACATAAATTTCCATTGCTATGCAGATGATACTCGGTTATATTTATCTATGAACCCAAATGAATCAGATCAGTTGGCTAAACATCAAGCATGTCCTAAAGACATAAAGGCCTGTAACTTCTTACTTCTAAACTCTGACAAAACTGAAGTCATTGTGCTTGGGCCTGAAAACCTTAGAAATCTGCTGTCTAATCATATAGTTACTTTAGATGACATAGCTCTTGCCTCCAGTACTACTGTGAGGAACATTGGAGTCATTTTTGACCAGGATATGTCCTTTAAATCACACATAAACCAAGTCTCTAGAACTGCCTTCTTTCACCTGCACAATATCGCAAAAATCAGGAGCATCCATCATATCTTAAAGACCTCATATTGCCTTATCATCCCAACAGAGCACTTCGCTCTCAGAGTGCAGGTTTACTTGTGGTTCCTAGGACCTAGAGAAGTAGAATGGGAGACAGAGCCTTTACTGTAGCTATCAAGCTCCTCTACTGTGGAACCAGCCCCCAGTCTCAGTTCGGGAGGCGGACACCCTCTCTACCTTTAAGATTAGACTTAAGACTTTCCTTTTTGATAAAGCTTATAGTTAGGGCTGGCTGCTGGGGGCCCATGATGCTCTGAGTTCCTCTCCTCTCCTCTCTCTCCATGCATCTATATGTCACCATTAACTTTGTGTCTCCTCTCTCCCGTAGTGTGTCCACTTTCTGTCTCCCTGTACCTTTCTACAGGTAGCCCTGGCTCTGGAGCTCTACGTCTCTGATGAGCAGTCACTGGCCACAATGTTTGATTGTTTATTGTATCTTGTTTCTTTTCTTTTCTTTTCTTTTCTTTTCTCTCTCCTCTATCCACCCACCCCAACCGGTCGAGGGAGGAGGCCGCCCACCAAAAGTCAGGGTCTGTCGGAAGTTTCCTACATTAAAGGGAGATTTTCCTCCCCGCTGTCGCCAAGTGCTTGCTCAACGGGGATTTGTTGGGTTTATCCTCTATAATAATAATAGTAATAGTAAGGTCTAGACCTTACTTTGTAAAGTGTCCTGAGAGGACTTTTGTTGTGATTTGGTGCTATACAAACAAAACTGAAACTGAATTGACCCTTCAGTGCAATTAACTGAAATTAAACATTTTCTCAGATTAAAGCCTCCAGGCACACAACCTCTCCCTCACTCGGTGGTCCTAGTTTGTCCCTCTTTCTCACACATATCCATCACCCCTAATCACATCACTATGAGCAATCATAACAGTCCAGCGTCTCATTCTGCCAAGCCAGATTCACACACACTCACCATTGCGGTCTATGGCAAATGGCGTCCCTGTGGTGACAATTTCATAGTTGCAGATCTGGCTGTACTGTGGTGAACAGTCCTGGTCCCATGCTTCCACCTGCAGTAATGCAACATTCAGTTAACTGCTATTCATTCAATGACTGCTCTGCAAAACAACTACAAACAATTACTTTACAAAACCCCAGAATTATAACAAAATGTTTTTGTGGCATTATTAAACTTGTACAAGAAATACAATACCTCCTTACTAAAGCTTTAACTAAACACAGTTTAAACAACAAACTAAAAATCTAACAAAGACAAATATTTTAGCTAGTGTCACAGTGTTTTCCCTGTTATTCTAGACTTTGTCTCTTTTACTGTTCTGCCCACAATCATCAGCTTTCTGTGTAATCACCCACTCTGTATATAAACCAGCAGCCTGCACTCACACACTATAAGTGTACATGTAGAAGTGTGTCTAAGTAACCGTCCAGTGTTTATCTCTACTTCTTTTGTTATTGAACTATTTCTGCCTTTGGACTATGACCTTGCCGACCACGTTGGAAGTGACCAGATACAAGGAGAAACATGCGTCCAAGCAAGTTTTTCCCTGTATCTGGTCAGTCGTCTGTTCTTAAATGAAACTGTTTACCTACCTGTGTATGGACACTTGATTTTCCCTGGTCAGTTGTTTGTCCCTTGCCTGAACTGTCTGCCTAAGCCTGTCTGTTTGGACACAAACTGTTTTTAGGTGCTGTGGCCACTCTCCTCACTGGCTTGTTAGCATTCCTTGAAAATGATTTACCTGAGTGTTAGTGTCCCCATGAACTGCTTTCCCCAACTATTTACTTGAGAGTGAACTCTTATCTGGACATCCTGAGAAACCTGTGTTTGCCTCTTGCTCACTCCTCCTATATAAAGTGTTGGAATCAAGATCTCCTGAAAGCTATACTTAACTGTGTTCCTGACTGGCCTCTTCTCAGCAAACCATTATTCTTATGTGTGCCATTTTGTCTGCTCTGGCATAAGTGGTACTCCTACTATTTTATTATTAAAACCCTGCCCTCTCCCCACCAACACTGCCTAGATTGTGGTCCTGCATTTGGGCCCTAACATAAAGTTCTAAAATGTGATGATATCATGTGTGACTGCAGGTTCTGGTTTATATGATGAGTGGGTGATTACACAGGAAGCAGCTGAGTGTGGGTGGAGCTAGGTGGAGCTGGTAGAGCAGGATAAGAGATATATGGTGAACCCTGATTCCACTACCTGCATCCACATTTCACTCACTTACATCTTTTCCTTGCATCTTAGCCCAGACCATGTAAAGGGCAAGGAAAAGAAGCAAAGACAAACTGTGAGGAGAGAGGAAAGATGGAACACTTTTTAACAGACATGGGACATCCTTTTCTCTGATTCTTCATGTGAGGTATCCAATCACATATGGATTTCTCAAAAAGGGGTGTGTCAATCCATAATAGATCTCCGCGAAGGATGTGGATTGTGTATCCATGGTTATAGCTCCTCCAGCCAACCTCCTCAGTCCTCACTCCTCAGAGCAGAAATATGACCTATGGGACATCCTTCATCATGGTGGACCGTAACAAATCCAGGGTCAATTGAGGACCAAGAAACAATAAGGAAGGGAAGTGGGATTCATAAAAAACTTCAGCAAAGGATGCTCTCATGAATCCTAAGTCACAGCTTTTCCAGCAGCCTCCTAGCTCCTTAGGGCTTATATAATTGACTTGGAACATCATCAGCCAGAGCAACTTCCAGGTCGAGTGAGGACTGAGGACATAGGACTGATCATATAAGAGACTTGAGAAACACCCAGGGAAAACAGAGAGTAAAGACATGACCAAGACTGGGATGGTACAGGTAGATGATAAATAGAGTAAATATGAAACAAAATTCACATTTGTCTAAATCTCCCCAGAACAGAAAAAGAAATCAAGTTTGGGTTTGATTCAAACACCATTATCTAAGTAAATATACCTGCAAAATGCTGTCGTAGATCTTGCCTTCTGTCACTGAGGCCTTGTACAGAGGCTCCCGAAACACTGGGGAGAACTCATTGACATCATCCACCTGGATGTGAACCACTGCCCTGAACAGAGGAAAGAAAGGAGGAAGGATGGAGCAGGAGAGGGAAGAGGACAGGAGGAGGCAAAGACAGTGGAGTGGAGAATATTTATAGGTGGAAGAAGGGAGAAACAAAAGAAGAGACTCTCCAAGTCATTAGTGATAACTTAAATTAATTTTAAAAAACCTGTCACTGTTTTTACAAATACTGGTTAGCGGCAGGCAGAGGAGATTGGGAGGGAAATCACTATGTATGCTTCAAGAGAAAAAAGATTGAAAAGAGTCGATTAAAATGTATCACTGTGGAATAGGTTCCATCAATCAACCCTTTATTTAACTTGCTTATCTACTGACACAGGCTCATCTACGGTGGATCCTGAAAAGTTCACTTGTTTTTGTGGTTCCAATGTTATTTAATTTTTTTCGATTTACCTTGCCTTTTAGACACAATCGTACACATAAACACCACCACATCTGCTGGGAGGGGCTGCTGAAGATATTAACTAGGCACTCTGATAACATTTGTGCACTAAAACATAGAAATGACACAATAATTCAGATGTATCATAAAGTTTTCTTCACTGGTGACCTTCATTGATGACAACTCGCGGTGTATCTGAGGAAGCACATCTGGCTAATTAATGACAACAGCTTAATGAGGCTTATTTAGAATGTCACACAAGGGATAATGTCTCTCACACACACAAAAGTATACTGTCTGTTATTCCTCTTTCATTGGAGAAATTCATCACAGATACAGATCCTTGAGCTGATACATTTCTCTTTCTGTCTCTCTGTTCTTTCATTTTGTACTGAGCACCTTATTTTGAGGTTGTGTGAGTGGCTGCTGTTCATGCTGGCCTTCCTGTTTGTCAGTCGTTCACGTAGCACTGCACCCCCCACCCCCCCACCTCTGTAAAAAGAACCATAAGTCTCAACTGTCATTGAGGCTCCACTGAGATGAGAGAGAAAGCAGAAACAGCAAATTCTAATAATTTATTATAGTACTTTTTCCTTTATGACTTTGAGGTACAGTATTATAATTTTTACTTCATAGACCAGGGGTTCTAAAACATACTATTCAAAGGTCTGAATTTGATTTCTATTTAAGGTCAAAGGTCCGGAACAATCAGTGATAAGCAAATGACTTTTATTAACCTTGCTTATAACTTACAAGCAACATACAATTATGGGTCAATTTATTAGGTACACCTGTACAATTGAATGCAATTCAATGTAACACTTCTACCTTAACATGTGTTTATGAAGCTCAAAATATTTCAGCTTTTAGTGAAACTGTCATAAATGTATAAATTCAATTATGTGTTTATTATTGAGGTCATAGATAAAAGTGGTATAGTACTGGACTACATGATATTTAGAGGTGTTCCTAATACTCTTACCCTGTCGTGTATGTAACAAGGGAGGACAAAAATATAGAGACACCTCTGAATATAATGTAATCTAGTACAAGGCCACATTTAACCATGATCTCAGTAATAAACATAAAATTGAATTTATTCATTTAGAATCAGAATCAGCTTCATTGGCAGTGGTATAGTACTGGACTACATGATATTTAGAGGTGTTCCTAATACTCTTACCCTGTCGTGTATGTAACAAGGGAGGACAAAAATATAGAGACACCTCTGAATATAATGTAATCTAGTACAAGGCCACATTTAACCATGATCTCAGTAATAAACATAAAATTGAATTTATTCATTTAGAATCAGAATCAGCTTCATTGGCCAGGTGTGTTGGGCATGAGGAATTTGACTCTGGTACAGCGGCTCTCAATATGTTTGTACATATCCTATGTAAGGCAATAGCAAAGGGCAAGTAAGCAATATACCAATATAAGGTTGTAGGTTTATTACAGTTTCACCAAAACCTGACACAGTGAGCTTCATAAACACAGATGTTGAGGGAGAAGTGTTAATAAATAAATAATAATAAAGTGGCCCGTGAGTGTACATTCAAGTCTAAGACAGTCTGAGACACAATACATTCAAACCTAGTTGAAAAATGCCACTCTTTAGCTGCCTTTGGCTTCAGTAGTAGCTGAACAGCTCTTGCTGTGTCATAGATCTCACAAACAACTTGTTTGTTGATTCATGGAAAGATTTTACCTCTCCTCACCTCTGTATTCTCAGTCTCTGTGCATATCAAATAGAAGGGCCTTGTGCTGGATTGGGGCAAAATGAACACATATTTCTCTGTCCACTTGTCTTTGAAAACTCGGTTTTCTTGGTCAACTTGTCTTTTTTTTGCACATTGGTGACGTAATGTACACTGACAGAAGACGGCGAAGTCTCACTTTCTCGTGCTCGAAGGACAGAGCGTGAATGCCTGTCAGACCACTGCTTCCCTCTGCTAAAAAATTTGTCCTGTTTTTAAATTTTGTCACATTTTTTAGACTTTTTGAGAACTTAATGACTCATTTCTGCTGGTGCCTCTGTAACTTTTAATTAAATACTGTGTGGTTAATATTTCCAAGTATGTCATGTTTCTGTAGTTTTGTCCGCCCCCTGTAAGTCTGAGTCATAATAGCAGCCCCATAAGTGACTCATCACGATAAATAATAATTATCAGCATGTGACAGCTCTAATACAGGTTCTGACAATCATCATCTTCATAACTGACTTTTTAATCAGTGTCCAGAAACTTTCAGTTACAAACAGACCCGACAGTCAATGTCTGAAATATTGGTGAAATCACAAAATTTAAGAATTTTTTGAGAACTTAGCATCATGTAAAACATTAGCCAAGCTCACAAACAAACTCATTTAAAGAGGGGGCTTTCTTGTGGAGCTAGTGTGTTTAAATGTGTTATACTGTATAAAGGATTTATTCCTTAACTAAGCTGACATGTCATTTTCCTATCATTGTAAATTCTACCAGGTGTTTTACTGCAAAAATATATCCATTGCAAACCACAGTTTTGTTAAAATGGAAAGAAATCACACCTTTGGAATATAAGTATTGTTTCACCACTGTACCTGTGAATTAAAATATTGTTAAAAGCCTCAAGTACAGAACACAACATAGTTAGTCAGTGGCAACGATTCTGATGATCAGTAAATCATGACATTTTTAATGTTTTTATGCCACATGTTCACTGGGTTTACTTTCTCAAATCTTTACTGGCATTCTAAGTCTTGTATGACAGTAAAGATACCTTTGGGTAAAGACTGCTGCTCAGATCAAACCAACAAGTTGTCACTCTGGGCCATGAGGAATTGTGATGGAATATGTTTCTATATTTTCTGATGTTTTATATAGAAAACAGTGAAGACAATAATGGAAACCAGGAGCCTTTCTTTAGGAAGTAAAAACAGGTTTTACTGATCTCACTTCTTGATCTATAATATACTGTAAACTAGATTTATATTAAATATAGACACAAACATATGAACAGGCATTGCTCGACTCACTTGTGGGATTTTTTCCAGTCGGCCCCGCTGGGTCCAGCCCCACAGTCATAGGCTTGGATCACAAAGGTGTACTCTTTTTGGCTCTCACAGTCTACAGGGCTGCTGGCCCTAAGTACTCCTTCTCCTGATGTGCGATTCAATACCACCGCCTCGAATGGCGCATCCTGACCATAGATCTTAAAGGCACAAATCTCCCCTAAAAAGACAAGGAAAGAGAGGTATAAATGATGTAACTGTAATGTTTTACTATCGGAAACACTACACTGATAATGTAGTGCCAGTACAAAATTCCAGCACACACCAGGGCTGTCTAGATGAAGGATCTTCTTTACTTAATTTGTACACATATCTGCAAGTTTGAGAGCAGTGCGTTTTGCATTATAGCTTCTTCAAGTTCTCCCATCTCATACAGTAATCTGTAACAGGTGTGTCTTTTAAAAGTTGTGATAGCTATTGGTTAGTTACCAGTCACATTACATACACCACTCATTGCAAATTAATCAAGACAATACAAAATTTCACCATAATTAAGAACTAATAATCAACATTATACAAAAAAAATCTAAAATATTTACAAACATTCTGTGTTACCCGGTGGAAAGCTGACAATATAGAGAAACGATAGCTGGACCAACCTGAAGTTAATACATTAGATACCAACATCATATGTGTTCTACCTACTATTTACTGCACCTCTGAGATAAACTTTCCTTATACAAGGATAAATACCTCTACATCCAATGGAGCAGATTCAGTCCAGCACTTCATTTAAATCACTGGGTTCTACAGTGTTGAAAGTGTGTATCCAATATGCTTCTTTTTGCAATAATTGTTTAACTGGATTAGGCAAAACTCTTTTCAAACCTGCAGTATAAATTTAAGGGTGGAAACTGATCCATGTAGTGTCTGTCAACAGTGTAATATACATTTCCATTCCTAATCACTCCCTTGTGCTCAGCTATTCTTAACTTGAGGTAATGTTTGGTTTGGCCAACATATGTAAGCCCACACAGACATTTAAGCATGTAGATAAATAAAGAAGATCCTATATCTAGACACCCCTGGTGTGAACTGGAGCCTTGTATTTTTGTTACACTTGAGAGCCTGGACATTAAGTGGACTGACTTGGCAAGCTCCCTAGTACAAAGTTCATATAAAGTCAGAGTGAGCTGAAGTGAGCCCATGTGAGAAAACAGCAGAATAACAGCGAGCTAGTGGGTGTGTTCATGATATTGTGTGACTGGCGTGGAACTGGAAAAATACAAACATCCAGTAGTGAAGAAAACAAGTCCTTTACAGTGAAAAAGGCAACAAAAATATCAAACTGGAGACATGATGAGACTCAGGAACTTCTGTCATTAAGAGCAGACAAATGTAAGGAATGGCAAAAAAAGAATAACAGCGAGCTAGTGGGTGTGTTCATGATATTGTGTGACTGGCGTGGAACTGGAAAAATACAAACATCCAGTAGTGAAGAAAACAAGTCCTTTACAGTGAAAAAGGCAACAAAAATATCAAACTGGAGACATGATGAGACTCAGGAACTTCTGTCATTAAGAGCAGACAAATGTAAGGAATGGCAAAAAAAACTCAGTTGTTTATGACCAAATTACATGCTACATGTGTGAAAGGGCAACTCTGGACAAAGTCCAGGCCTGATTCTGGGGACACTGTCTGGAGATCATGTGTGAAAATGACTTACGTAGTCTCTGGCTGTGTACAGGATTATTATACCTTACCTACTGACAATGCAGTATTCTAGTCAGTGTTTATTACAAGACCATGCTACAGAATTTACTGATCCTAAAGAAGATAGTTTGTAAGACTGACATCAAAATTGTGTCAAAAATTAACGCAGATATGTCAACCTATCGAAAACATGTCATTGAGAGGCATTTAGTAAGTCAAAAGCAAGAAACACAAACAAAACAAGTATGAAGATACTGAAAAAAATAGGAGAGATAATCATCAAGTGAAAATTGATAGCAAACAACTTTGAGAACTGCATTTTTAAGACAATTTTAAGAAGAAAAGGAAGCTGAAAAACACTAATCTTTACCCCAGAGAAAAAATATATGAACCACACAAGTTCTAAAGGAGAAAAGGCTGCAAGATAGAAAACATCAGAGGCGTAATGGGCTTCAACATGTCTGTTCCCCAGCAGAGAGTGAAAATGCTGCTCAGCATGTGGCTCATGAGGACTGAGGGTACTTAATATAGAGGCAGTCAGCACAACAAGTGAAAGATAAAGTCTGAGCCTGCACTTAATTTCAACACTGTGTGAACAAACAAACAGTAAAAAAAGAAGAAGAAGCTGGATTTTTTTATTCACTCGTTTTTTGTCAATGGTAATGCTTTGTTTGTTTTGTCCTTTCCACCTGCCCTGTCATTTCCTCAGCTCAAATAGTTAAGAATGAATCAAATTGTGGGTAATAAAGTAAACACTGTCACTGCCAACATTTTCTTTACAGGATAGTTATCCTTTAAAATTTCAGTCCCATTTTTGGATGCAGTAATCTTTGTCAGCATGAGCTGCTCACAGTGTACAGCTCCTAAGTGTAGCTAAGAGAAGATTTCAGATATGTGTCAAACTGTGCCAACTTGAAAAATGATAAAATCTGTCATGTCCACAGAATATTCTACCAAACATACTGAGTGCTTAGTGTTTGCCTACTGTGTGTGTGTGTTTCTGTGTGTAGATGTGGTTGTGAGCCTTGAGTTCATTCTCAGCACAGGTGTTCATTTGAGGGATTTGGGAAACTTCCTTGCAGGGGGAACAGAAAGCTGTAGCGCTCTGGCCCTGTGCTGGCTGTCAGAACATAGTGGGACACAGTGGGAGCAAAACACTACCTAGTTATGGCAATTCTGCTTGCATGCTCAAATCCCATGGACAAATACTGTACAAAGACAAAATTCCCTCTCACCACTGGCTTCTCTCCACTTGTCTTCATACCCCACAAACTTTTCACATACTGTATTTTCTCTCTCTGACTTCCTTTTAACCTGATAAAACTTTCCAAATCCCCTTCTTGGTGAAATGATGATGCTACCAAACACAGTGGGCTTTGAAGTTTGATCCTCAACCAGTTTTCAACATGCCCTGCACCCATATCGGTCCGTTAGAGTTGTTATCACAATGAAACGGTCCCCAGTGCAATGCGCATAGAAAAAATAATACAAACAGTGAGAGGTATGAAAAAAGGGTGTTAAGCACCAAAGGCCTTGATCCTGCAAGCAGATACACATTCAAACACAAACTGAGAAATCCTGTTCTTGACTAAAGAGACTGGAATCTGATCTAAAAAGTGATTTCAATATACTGCTGCAGCCAAACACCAGCGTAGTGGTGGGAAGCAGGAAAAGGTGCATCCACTTAACAGTTTGGGGTTGAATGCAAATCCATTTCCCGCTCCATCTGTTGTGGCAAATGCATTTTTCTGGATTACACTTTACAGGACAACGCAACAGAGGCACGGAGGGGAGGAAGGAGACCAACAGAAGAGGTGCGAGAGAGAGATGAGAAGGAATGTATATGCAAATGGTAATGACAGAAATGTCAGAAGGATTCCTCCTGTGTCAGCAAATGCGTACACACACATACACACACATATTTTCCATTCTGCCACTTAGTTTGCTCCTCACCAGCCCCAGCAGAGGGAACACTATAATTTCACCTCGTTGTTGTGTGTGGGTGAAATGAAGTTTAATCTCTGGCCTATACTTCATGAGGGAATGGGGTCACTTTTCAAAGTAAATATCAAAATGCACAGGAGGCTGGCGTGTTGCCATGACAGATTGAAGTGAAGTGGAAGAGTCAGCAAAAAAGTGTTAAATAATAATAGTCATCTAAAATGGATGGTACTCCACATAGAGCTTGGGCAGAATAAACTGTATCGACAGAAAATGTCAAGCTGTCACAAAGCATATATTTTACAGGATGTTAAATTGAAAATATAATGGAAAAAGACAAGATGGATACAAGTAATAAGAAAACAATGCGCCACAAAGTAACACATTGTCACAAGAAGCCAGAACAAATTTGTACATTTCTACAATAACTAACAGGAGTTGACAGGGTATTTTATTTCTAAGAAGTTTTTTTTTTCTATTTGCTGCAGCAGTTTTTTTAAAGGGTATGAAAAATGCAGCATCAAATATAAGTAATTAAAGCAAGGGTTTATTCTCAATATTACATGTAGTAAAAAAGCATATACTTCTTGGTATATTAACACATTAAGAGCAAACAGTTGTAAACTGTACAGCAAGGCACATGAATTCAAAGCAAAACCAGTGCAACAACATCTCAGTATGTGCATGAGAGAAAAGAGATGCATCAGTAATGTACACTCAGATATTGTTGGATAGGGTGGCCAATCTATTGTCTGTTGTGCACTTCTATATATCATCCAGTGTACTTAAAAGCATTTAATCAAACTGCATCACAAGGCAAAATGGAGACATGAACAAAACGCAGACATGCCATACAACTAACAGTTTACAGACTTCCAGATGCCGGCCTAATGCATGTTACTGAATAGAATGTAGTTTAAAAAAGTTAACTGATTGATATACTGTAGCTGCTTATTGTGATAAATGAAACCCTTGAGCTCATGTTAAAGCTAAAATGAAGCTCATATTCATGCTCTGTGAATGCCATTTCTGTACAGTATCAGACCATATAGTACAAGCATTTGGCAAACAACATGCACAATATAATTCAAGGTAAAGAGGACATACAAAATGTGAAAATATACCATTAGGAAAGTGGAATTTCAGCCAGAAGATGATGGAGGATGTCAACATACATAACTGATAGATTAATTTGTGTGTGTGGGTGTGTGTGCCCCTGGTATTACACTGTGGGGATCAAAACATGTTTCATGTCATAGGCACTTGGCCTTCCTCATGGGGACCAGATGATAGCCTCCACATGTAAATAAAAGTACAAACTTAAAAATGAACAAAACCGATAAGATTTAAATAAATTAAAAATTTAACACACAGCATAGTAATTAAAGCCACAAGCCTCCTAACCTTAGGCTAAATGTGCCTTTGGGAAATTAAGTTACCCACAGGTGTACAGTAGAAGTGTCCAACTTTCTACAAGTACAACATTTGATTAAAATATCAAATCTGCCTCATGCTTATTTTTGTCTCTGTTCATTAAAAAAAATTGTAAAAGAAAAACAAATTTAT